ATAGAAACTCTTATATTCAAAAATCCAAGCAACATGTCATTATCAAATCATGCATGACATCAACATACTTCTCCCCCTTTGTCATCAACAAAAAGGAGAAGTCCAACTATTCATGTGTTTGGAATACAAGTTCAATTCGTTGCATGAAAAACATAATATCAAGTTTTATCATCATGCAAGCTAGCAAAAATTTAGCAAGTGCTATATCATATTAGAACATGCAAGCTATCAAGTTTTAGATATGCAAGTTTTACAACATATAAGATAGCACTTTTGCTTCTTTTGAGGTAGCAACTTCTACATTATACAAGCTAGCAAATTAGAGATGTTCAAGAAAGCAACACTTGCTTCTTGAAATATACAAGTTGCAAGCTAGCAATTCTTGCTTCCTTTGCAATGTTTGAGCTAGCAATTTTGCTTCCGTTGCAAAGTGCAAGGTAGCATATTTTGCCTCTTGAGATAGGCAAGATAGCACTTTTGCTTCCTTTTTTAGATTGGCAAGCTAGCAAGTTTGCCTCTTTTCAAATTGTGCAAGCTAGCAAATTTGCTTTCTAGTAAGTTTTGCTCCCCCTTTGTCATTGTCAAAAAGAAGAGAAGACCCTTTACATCAATTTTCAAATTATGATAAAGGTAAGGTTACAAAGATGAAAAATCAAGCCATGAATGTCAAGATCACAGTATTCATATCATCACATGAAAAATATCAAGAACTTAGTGATGAGATAAACATTTCATGAATACAATGAATTTTACATATTAAAATTGAAGTCATAAATTATCAAGATGTCAAGTAGCATATCATTGTTAATTTGAATATATCCTTTTTAGTGAATACCAAGAAGAGTCATAGTATGAAAAATTTTGATTCATAGAAAAATATCATGTATCGAATATCGAGAAATCAAGAGATGAAGACATTCCTATAGCAAAAAGATGTCATGTAAATGATCTCGATTTATATATAATATCTCTCAATTTATTATGAATCATAAAAGTTATAATTATAAAATAATTATGATTCATTTCGATAAATTTCAATAAGAAGATAAAAGAACACATAGTAGGAGATCTTGATTCATAAATGATTTCAAGTTATAAATCATGAGAAATCATGATCATGATTTCGATAAAACCCATTAAATTCAAATCATCAAAATTATCAAAATTACTTTCAAGAGATTCACAAAAAGAAAAACATAGATAGATTCATTAATCTCTCCATTCATTATGAATCACAAAAATTATAATTCTAAAAAAAATGATTCATATGGATAAATCTCAATAAGAAGATACAAGAACCCATAATAGGAGATCTTGTTTCATAAATGATTTCAAGTTATAAATTATGAGAAATCAAGATCATGATTTCGATAAAACCCATTAAATTCAAATCATTTTCATAATCCATGAGATTCATAAAAACATAATTTACATGTTTTCATTAATCTCCTTTTTGGAAAAATCGATAAAGTCAAAAATATAAATTTTTCAAGGAGAAACCTTTCCTCTTTTTAGTTGTTTTAATTCATCTGATTTATTTCATTTAAGTATGTCTTTTTTATTTATGCTAAATAAAAAACATGCATCAATATTTAAAACCAAAAAAGAACTTTCATTACGGCAAAGATTGATAATACATAAATCACTAAAATCTTCATGCATAATTTCGAAAAATAAATTTATTAGGCATGATATCAAATTACATTATTTCATCAAGTATGATTTCATATTTTCAATCAAAATCATTTTGTTTGTTTATCATAAAATATGTATTTTTCATGATTATTTTTAAAATCATTAGAAAGGTAAGCATGATCCAATTTTATTTTTGTATTTTCATTAAACATGCAATTCAAAAAAAATTATTTAATTTTCTTAAACTAAATTAAAACTAAATTAAAAATAAGTCATAAGAAGCATTATATAATTTCAAAATAAACTAAAGGCATTTTGATTACTTCAACGTCGAAAGTCGTTAAGGCGTAGTTTGCCACCTCGTCTTTGTTGATTTTCTCCTCGTCTTCGGATGAGCTCGATTTATCCCAATTTGTATTTTTCTTCTTGCGTTCAAAGCAAGTAGTTGTGTTCTTTTTGTTCTCCTAGTTGTGTTCAAAGCAAGTATTTTTCTTTTTGTTCAAAGCAAGTAGTTGTGTTCTTGCCACCTCGTCTTTGTTAATTTTCTTCTCATCTTCGGAGGAGCTCGATTCATCCCAATTTGTATTTTTCTTCTTGTGTTCAAAGCAACCATTGTTCTTTAATTTTTGATTCATCCTAATATGTTTAATTTTTGTTCTTTAATAATTTATCAGTGATGAATTCAAGTTCACCATCACTTGAGCTTATACTCGAGTGGTCTTCAATTGTTCTTAGTCTGAAATCCTTCTTGTTCTTTAGAAGGTGGTTCTTAAGTTCTTTACGTGCATTGCATATCATTTCATAGCTCATCAAAGACCCTATTAGTTCTTCGAGAGGGAAATAGTTCAAGTTTTTCGATTCTTGAATAGTGGTTACTTTTGAATCCCAAGTTTTAGAAAGTGAGCGCAAAACTTTATTCACAAGTTCAAGATTCGAAAAAATTTTACCAAGAGCTTTTAAACCATTGGCGACATCCGTAAAACGGGTGTACATGTCAACAATGGTTTCACTTGGTTTCATTCAAAAAAGTTCAAAATCATGCATTAAAAATTTGATTTTCGAATCTTTAACTTTGCTAGTGCTTTCGTGTGTGATTTCAAGAGTGTGCCAAATATCGAAAGTCGTTTCACACATAGAAATTCAATTAAACTTAGTTTTATCTAAGGCGCAAAATAATACATTCATAGTCTTTGCATTTAGAGAAAACATCTTCTCCAAATAATTCCAATGGTTTATTAGAAGAGAAGACATTTGAAAACCAAATTCAACTATGTGCCATAAATCGAGATTCAATGAAAGCAAAAAAACTCTCATTCGAGTTTTCCAATAAGTGTAGTCCGTCCCATTAAAAAAGGGAGAACGAATAAGAGAGTAACCCTCTTGAAAGCCGAAAAGAGCCATTTCTATTTGGGTGTTAAACCAAATATGAAAAACGAAGCTCTGATACCAATTGTTAGGATTAAGAGTCGACACTAAGAGGGGGAGTGAATTAGTGCAGCGGTAAAAGTTACTTGGGTTCAAAAAATCTTCATACGATAAAACTCATTTACGTTAAAAATTGATTTAGGAAACTTAGCTTGAAAGTGTTTTCGTAAAGACAGCTTGAAAGCGTACAGAAGATGCGTAATAGATGTAAAGCAAGGAAAGCAGTTTGCAGCTAAGATAAATAGTAAAACAAATATACAAACTGATTTATAGTGGTTCGGTCGTCGTGACTTACATCCACTCCTCCGATTCCTCTTCCGTCGAGGCCACTAGCATCCACTAACGATCTTCCTTTAATAGGTGAAGATCAACCTCCTTTTTATACCCCTCTTCTCCTTTTCACATGTTTAAGAGTCAACTTTTACAAGCACTCATTCCTCTCTCAAACTTTTCTAACACTTAGAACTTGAGGAGGATTCTCATAAGAGATTTCTATAGCATTTTTCCCTTTTTAAAATCTCTGTGCTTGTGTGCTTTAACCAGGGATGAGAGAGGTATTTATAAGATTCAAGTTGGTTCAAACTTGGAGCCTAGAAATATCTCATCCTGGGTTTCCCGGGCACGGACAGTACTACCACCTGCACTGGGCGGTACCACCGTCCAATCTGATGATACCACCGCTTGGAGGGCTGTATTGGGCGGTACCACTGCCCAGCCTAATGGTACCACCACCTAGCAACATATTAAAAAATATTTTTCCTAACCCAAAATTTTACTAGGTGTTTTGGACCAATGTAGAAACTTAAATGTCAAACAACTTTATATGAATTCATTATATTTCTATAATAATAAGAAAATATTGGTCAAAAATTAAAACAGAATATAAAATCTAATTTTTTTTAAAAAATACATAATTAAATAAAATTATTAATATAACACTTTTTTAATCATAAATGAAATGCTTCGGAAAGATGGTCGGCTGGCTAACCTCTTTCGCCTTTTTCCCTTCTTTTGGGATACTTGGGGAACTGTGTTAGTCAGACTAAAGCTGAAGGAGACGTCTAAGCCGTACCTAACGGCCTTCCCAAAGACCTTCAACAGTTCCCGGTCACCATACTCTTCTTCTTCTTCTACCAGGTGATCCTGAAGCAGCAATGGGATACAACAGCAGGTTTTTCTTCTTCCAGGTGATCCAGAAGCAGCGATGGGATACAACAGATTGAGATTGGAAGAGAGGGAGGCGGAGAAAGAAGAAGACGAGAGGAAACACTCGTTGACTTAGTGTAGTATCTTATTATAGTCAATGGTAATAAAAGTGGCAAAACGTGCGACATGTTGGCAGTCGCCATCGTCCCTTCCCACGTCCGATGACTTATTCCCTGCCCCAAAGATATTTGCATGCAATCTTGTCTTACCATGTGGAAATTACGAATGGGATCCACAGCTCGCGTCGTATCCTACCCGATGTTCCACGGCACCGCTCCTCGTGCCTCGTGAGCCCAACTTCTTTTCCTGGTTAGAAAAGTCTTGCAATCAATAGTAATAATGATATGATAACATCAGGATGACCGGTCAATCAATCGCGGTATAACGCGTGTGCATGAAGATGTTATTCTCATCACCGGTAGCCTCGACACGGTCTGCATCGTAGCAATGCTTCCAATTCTATAACTTCAACCTAACACTTCCTCTCCCTGGAAATTTACTATTCGGCAAATGCAGATACTGCTCAAGTATGAACATGTACTGTTCATCATACATTACATGATGAAGGCTGTACTGTACGAGGTAATGCAAAGCAAAGTGCACGATAGGCGATCCTTGACGGTTAGGTGCAATCAAGACCGTCGGAGGGATGGATCCTGTACGTCTCCCCATGTGCATGTGGCTTTATATGATCAGCCCGGGCGGCCGCTTCGCTTTGCCCACTGCTCCTTCCCCACCCTCTAATTCTTTCAGCATATTCTCCCCGCCATGGCTTCCACCGCCGCTGGTCATGAGCTCGCGCCCACCACGGGAGCCACCCTCGTCGTGGGTGGCACCGGCTACATCGGCCGCTTCGTCGCCGAGGCTGGCCTGGCCCTTGGCCACGCCCTCTACGTCCTCGTCCGCACCTTTGGCCCCTTCGTTTCCCCCTCCCGTGCGGCCACCGCCGCAGCCCTCCGCGAGAAAGGAGCCATTATTTTGGAGGTAATATTGCATGAGCTCTCATCTCGTTTATCGTGTATGTTAACCTCAATAATGATGATGATGAGGAGGAGGAGGAGGAGGACTTCCGATGTGTTTCAGGGTTCCGTGGACGATAAAGACTTCATGGAGAAGACTCTGAGAGAGAACAACATCCATGTAGTTATCTCCGCGGTTGGCGGCGAGAGCATTCTGGATCAGCTCTGCTTGCTCGACGCCATCCAAGCTGCGGGCACCGTCAAGGTACGTGTTACACAACGAGTACTGCTGCTATTGTTTTGCATGGACAAGGGCGTCATGCATGGGCGATAGCTATGCCTTGCGCTGGTGTGGCAGCGGTTCCTGCCGTCGGAGTTCGGGCACGACATCGACAAGGCGAACCCGGTGGAGCCGGCACTGAGCCTCTACAACAGAAAGAGAAGGGTTCGGCGAGCCGTCGAGGCCGCCGGCGTTCCCTACACCTACATATGCTGCAACTCCATCGCCGGCTGGCCCTACCACGACAACAAACACCCGTCCAAGGCGGCGCCACCGCTGGACCGCTTCGTCATCTATGGGGACGGCAGCGTCAGAGGTAAATCTCACTGCCGACATGCATGAATAATTAGGCAGCGTGGACACCAAACTGCGACTTCAGGATCAATAAAAAATAAGATATTTCAAGTACCACATTAACATACTAATAATAAGACGACGTCCTTCTAAATCTAAATAAAGGAACGTACATATACAATTTATATAACCAACCCTTGGATCACTGAATTTTTAATAGTGGATCAATCAATAATATTTAAAGAATAAAAACTAATTATGTAATATAAATAAATAAATTTAAAATATTAAGATTTATGTCTTAATCCCAAGGTCTAGAGCTCGTTTGCGTGTTTCTTTAATTATTATTATTATTATTATTATTATTATTATTATTATTTAATGTTGATGACGTTGCAGAAGACAAATATTACATTGACCAACAAATAAAAAATCCTGAAAAACTATTGTTACTGTTACATTGAAGTGTAGGGTGTTGATGGATGCTTGATGTCGCGTTGGTTGTGTTGTAGCCTTCTTTGTTGCAGGAAGTGACATTGGGAAATTTACGATGAGATCAGCCTTCGACAGTCGCACCGTGAATAGAGCTGTTCACTTCCGCCCGACTTGCAATTGTGTTAGCTTGAACGAGATGGCTTCCCTGTGGGAGCGCAAGATTGGAAGGACACTGCCAAGAGTCAGATTCACTGAGGAGGACCTGCTCGCCATTGCTAAAGGTTGGAACCTTGGATCATGCTTTTGAGTTCCTTCTGACTGAATAAAGATTTTGAATTGGATCATCACTAATCTTAAACTTGAACCCAAGCGTATGATACAAGTCCAAATGAGACAAAAAAAAAAAAAAAAAAGAGGAGAAATATGGGATTCGAAAGTATCGTGATAAAGAATGAAGCTTTCCGGATTAGATATCACCCAATTACAATCATTATAATTCATCCGATGTTCGACTGATCCGGTGGTACTTTATTATTATTCCTCATGTTGGCTTATGCTAAGCATACTTCCACTTTCACTTGATGGAGAATGTTAATGTTTAGAATAAAGCGACCGAGATCTTTTCGCATAGCTTAAGCTTTTTGGAATAAATGGTCAAATATTTATATACCATGATAAATTGATCAGATGACCATTATCATATATTAAAAAAAAGGTTTAAGAATTTTGGATAAATAATAACGAAGTTTTAAATGAAAATTTATTAATCACTAATGATCTCAAAATCAAAATTTTTACATGGTATTTGAGGTCAGGTAATAGATTCATGCACATGATTCGACATGAAGAAAGTATCAATGGTTGCTACTTGGATCATCGGACACCATAAACATCCCTCTGCATTCCGACCATGAAAAGTTCATTTTATATAGGCAAATCGTAGATCTCAGCTTTTTTCATTCCTTTACATATACTGAAATTTCCAACACTAGCAAAAATAGAATGAAATCCATTGCATAAGATTCTCAACAATATTAATATCTATTGACACCAAGACTCCCAACAATAAAAATGATCTTTTGCTGCACACAAGGAACTGTAGTTATAACTTTTTTGGATGAAAATTTTCATCTACCAGTATAGTTAATGAACGGTATTAGTATATTCTACGACACCTATCACGACAATTATTAACCACAGGTATAGATATTATGACTACAGTTGTAAACCGTTATCTACACCTAAAAGTATTGTAGTGACTTCTTACGCTGCGTCACTAATAAATCAGTGAGATTTTTTGAGAAAAATACTGCTCTTCTCTCTCTCTCTCTCTCTCTCTCTCTCTATGTATACAATAAATTGTATGATTGTTCGTTTACGATGGAAGCTCTTATATTTCCTGTTGGGTTGGTGCAGAGAATGAGATTCCAGCCAGCGTTGTTGCTGCCTTGACTCATGACATCTTCATCCTTGGATGCCAATCCAATTACTCGGTGGACGGGGTGAAGGATGTGGAGGTCAGCTGCCTCTACCCCGACATGGCATTCCGGACACTCGATGACTGCTTCAGTGACTACATCTCGAGCCTTTTGCCCCACCAAGCTAGGGAGACAAGACCATCTGCGGCCGCTGCTACGGTGGATCAACCGGCAGTTCCACCGGCCACTGCTTAATTACAAGCATGCATGGATGCATAGAACTCCATCGGACCTCTTCCATCATAGAATAATCTTTTATGTGATGTAATGAGATATAAAGAGATATAACTTTTGTATATGAATAAATACTAGCAGATCATAACATGCAGCGAAATTAAATAGAATTATAATCAAATAAAATATCAAGATATATGTGAAAAATCTCTCCAATGTGAAGGGTAAAAATCACGGGGAAAACTAGAGATAATCCATTATAAGAATAACGAATATACAAATCTCAATCTCGTGTCCAAAACCATAGCAACAATCATAAGAGAATAACTATGATACAAGGATCATGTCACTATGCATAATATCTAAATTCTCCTCAAATAATCACAGTAAAAATCTATTATAGATCTAATCTAACCTGAGATGAAAACACTACTAGATGATTGAGAATAGTCTTTGTGCGTTTTACTTATCTTCTTCCCTTTCTTTCTCTTGTTTTTCTGTCTTGTTCTTCTTCTTTTCTTTGAAATCACATGGCTGCAGTATTCTGCTCATTACTATAGATTTTCTACCTCTTTTTGTTATAAGAATGCAGCCACCCACACCCCCTAATATGAATCTAGGGTTTAGAGAAAAGAGATGGACTGTGGGCTATTAAAGTCCATCGTGAGCTGAATCTGGTGGGTTGTCAACGCAACATGATGGTCGCCTAAAGACTATGTAGATGATCTATCTATATTTTCTATGGACATTGATCTGATTAAACCTTGAGTTACTGGATCACAAATCATACGTTTGATTGCATTTCTAATAGGAAACATAAAACATAGAAATGCGCAAATTATAAAAAGTATAAAATAACACAAGGCTTAAGATAACATGAGATATAGGAAAGGTACATGCAGAGTCTATCATATCTAATGAGAGACTATTTTTGTTATATGAACACCAGTCGCACAGGCAACAAAACAGCAATCTAGTAATATAACTCTAATTATTTGAAAGTCTTATTTTTGGGATGGTAATGTGGTTAATATTTTCGATCAATTAGCACTCAACAAGTGGAGTCTCGTCGACCAAAACGTGACAACATGTTCCTCAAACCTAACACGACAACATGGATCTAAATAGAGAACATTATTTCAAAAATTCTTAATCTAGTAATATGTCACTGGCCACTCACTATTAATAAGAATCTTGAAAATATAGTAATAGATCCGAAATCTGGGACTCATCAGACATGACTTGCCACTAGTCCTATAAGTGGTGCTTGAGTCATGAGGATCCATCTCGATGAGTCGACTTGAATGAATAACTATTTTCGATTTTTTTTAAAAAATCCAGTTCCTAAGCATGATAAGTTTATAGAATTGACTACCAAAATTGACACTAACAAATAGAAATTGATATGGAATTAACATGTTTCCACTCTGATAAGCAGGTGGGAACGCAAGAATCCTCCACGCTTCGATTATTCTGTTGATTGCAGTTTGAACTTTACAGCGAGCACAAGGTTGGGATCCAAAAAGTAAGACCCATCTGTCTTTTAGCTCAGCGCTGGTTGTTAGCTTCTTGGTAGGTCGAAACTTGTTCTCAAAGGAAGATTGCTTGTTATGTTGGGGTTCAATTCATATATATATATATATGTATATATATATATGTATATATATATAAATATATATATGTATATATA